CTCCTCCTCATCATCATCATCATCATCATCTTTACCTTTCTCCCAGGCGACGGCGGACCGAGGCGACGGGCTGACCGTGTCTTGTAGGAAACCTGGGAGGAGGCCTGGTAGGAGGCCATCCTCATCACCACCACTACCACCACTTCCACCACCACCACCACCACCACCATCATCATCATCATCATCATCATCATCATCATCATCATCATCATCATCATCATCAGCATCAACAACAACAACAACAACAACAACAACAACAACAACAACAACAACAACAACAACAACAACATCAACATCAACATCATCATCCTTTCCTTAGGCGACGGCGGACCGAGCCGATGGGGTGACCGTGCTTGTAGGATACCTGGGGGGAGGCCTAGTAGGAACCTGACAAGAGGGCCTTGTAGGAAGCCTGGGAGGCCTTGTAGATGCCCCCAAGATCACCCAATGTGATCCCAGAATGTCCCCAGGATGACCCCAAGATGTCGCCAAGATGACCACGATGTGGCCCCAGGGTGTCCCCAAAATGCCTTCACGATGATCACGGAATGCCCCCACGAGGGATACCAAGACGGCTACAGCCGCGCGGGGAGGGGCAACTAGAGGGGAAAGTGAAGGACGGAAAACCTTATAGGAGGCCGAATAGGAATTGTAGAAGCCTGGGAAGCAGGGCGTCGCATTGCAGCTTCACGGCTGCGCGCCAAGCTGCGGCAGAAATGACGCTATCTTGCCAGAGCTGCGGCAGGGCCTCCTCACCCCCCGCGGCCAAGACAGCGTGGGCAAAGACTGGTTCAAACCAAGTTGTTCGGGGGCGCCCCCGCTTTCGTTTGAAGGTATGTGCTGCGGGGCTTGTACGAAAAAAACGTCGGACACTGCAACGGGTCTGAGTATCAGCTGGTTTCCAGATCGTCAGCTACCAACTTGCACGATGACATTGGTATGACCTCAAGGTGACCCCACGGTGACCCCAAGATGACCCTAAGACAGCCCCACAATGACCTGAAGATCGTTCAGGGGCACTTGCAATATGGCACCAGGATGTTCCGAAGAGAGCCCCAAGACGTGGACCCCTCCTCGTCTCAACTTCCTTTTCCTCCTCCTCCTCCTCCTCCTCCTCCTCCTCCTCTTCATCCTTATCCTTTCCTCAGGCGACGGCGGACCGAGGCGACGGGGTGACCATGTCTTGTAGGAGACCCGGGATAAGGCCTAGTATGAGTCCTTGTAAGAGTTGTCGGTAGCCTGGGAAGCCTTGTATATGCCCCCGAGATCACCCCACTGTGATCCCAAGATGCCCCCAAGATGACCACACAATGCCCCCCCCAAGATGACCCCAAGATGAACCCGGTCCAGGATGTCCCCAAGATGGCCCCAAAATGCCCCCAAGATGGTCCCAATATGCCCCGACGATGACAGCGATTTGACCTCATGGCGAACCCACGGTGACCCCAAAATGACCCTAAGACAACCCCACAATGACCTCAAGATCGTTCGGGGGTAATTCCTACATGGTGCCGGGATGTCCCGAAGAGGGCCCCATGACGTGGATTCCTCCTCGTCTCCACGTCCTTGTCCTCCTCCTCCCCCTCCTCCTCATCATCATCATCATCATCATCATCATCTTTATCTTTCTCCCAGGCGACGGCGGACCGAGGCGACGGGTTGACCGTCGGAATCCTGAGGAATCACCCAGGAATCTTCGGGGATCCCTCGAAATCCCATGGAATTCTGAGGCATCACGGCAGAATCCTCAGGAACATCTCGGGAATCCTCAGGTTGCTGGGTTGCTGGAGGGGGACGCGACCATCGAACCCGCCTTGTCCAACAACAACAACAACAACAACAACAACAACAACAACAACAACAACAACACCAACAACAATGACAACAACAACATCGCAAAAACAATCCGCACCGCGGAACCACACTTCAGCCACGCACCCAGGGACAGTGAATGACCCTTCGGCCCCCTCACTCTGATCATCAAGTTGTAGGTTGAGCGCCGATGTTGCACGGCAGCGGTCGTCGCTGAGGCCCGTAATGGTAGAGCTGGATGGCGCGGGAGCTGAAGTCACGCGGTGGCAGGACAGCCGTTGTCGCTGGTGCCGCTGCAAAGCTGGCTGTTGCAGTGCGCTCTGCTGCCGCGAAGTAGCAAGGAGCGCGTGGGAGAGGACTCTGGTTGCCTGCAGTCTGTGTCGGGTGAGGCCGTAGCTGAGCGGTGTTGTGGATCCTAGTATACTTGGCACCTGGATGGGTGCCGTCTGAGCCTGTAGATAAGGAACGGTCGGCATATGTGTCGCCGGCGGTGGAGATGCCGGTAGAGAGAAAAGTCGTCGCGTACAGTGCGGGCGCGGCTGCAAGAAACCCTCGCAGGAAACCCAGCCCTCAAAACCCGCGTCGGAGACGCACCTGGGGGGGGGGAACCCGGAGCACCCTGAAAGTACCAGCTTCGTCGTCGGCTGCGGGAGATCGCTGCGCAGCGCGCGGAGCGAAGAATCCCAGGGTACTCCAGATTTCGTAATGAAGGGAGGGGGGTCTCATTTCGGGGGGGGGGTCTCCTCCAGGCTATCTTGGAGGGCCTGGGGGGGTCTGGGGACGGTGTTTGGGAGGGTTCTCCCACGGGGGAGGTCTGAAATGGCCTGTCTTGGAGGGTCCAGACCCCCTCCCTTTTATTACGAAATCTGGAGTGCCGCGGCGAAAAGCACCTGGCGGCTTCTTGCTGCGCGTCCTCACTGTAGGGCCAGGCGTGGCCGGAGGCTGCGGGGCGGGATCTGCGCTCATGAAAGTGGCAGCTGCAGCTGGCCCCGCGCCAGGCGGACGTCCAGCCCTGCGAGGGGAAGGTCGGTGCGCCAGAGGCATTCGAAGCAGGCGTTGGCAGAACTGGGTTTAGTGGGACCTGGTTTAGTGATTTGTACTGGGGGAGGCCCCCCACCGCCCCGTTCCACCAATCGGAACTGCCGTCACCCGAGACCTGGTTTCGTGGTTCTGGTCAATTCAGGGGCTCCAGTGCTCCAGGGCCCTGCTACTAACCGGGTCCCCTTATCTGGGGTCCTGGCTATACCCGATCGAGCAGAGGCAGAATCCTGATGGCGGGATGTGCAGGCGTGCCCCCTGGGGGGACGGGAGGGATGCGCCGCGGGCGCAGCAGGCGGCACAAAGGCCAAGGCCTCCCAGATGGGGTGTCATCAGATGGGGTCGAAGGATCGCTGCGGATCGCCGATGCATCGACGGTGCCCTTCGATGTGGAGCTCGCCTTTCTCCACACCGATGTCGCCGATGCACCGCCGAGGTCGCTGATGCATCGGCGATGCACCGCCGGTACACCTGCAGGAAGGAAAAAAACATAAGCAAAACTCTTGGAGGTCCGCGCGGATTTCGTGGATCCGCGCTGGGTCCCCTTCCCTGGCGCCAGGGGGGGTCAGGGGCGCAGATCCAAGAAATCCGCGCGGAGCGTCGAAAGTTTATGGTTATGCCGATTTTTCTTCTTCGAAGATCGGCGCTGCGGCGCGAGATCGCCCGGCCCCATCCACTCGGACCCCATCCAGGAGGCCTCTATCCTCCTCCTCCTCCTCCTCCTCCTCCTCCTCCTCCTCCTCCTCCTCCTCCTCGTTCTCCTCTTCCTCCTCCTCCTCCTCCTCCTCCGCCTCCTCCTCCTCCCCCTCCCCCTCCTCCCCCTCCTCCTCCCCCTCCTCCTCCTCCTCCTCCTCCTCCTCCACCTTCATGTCCTCCTCCTCCTCCCAACCCGTACCACAGAGATGCGCGGTAAGGATGCAAGGGCCTTGGAGGCCCATGTTAGCGTTGTTCGAACGGGATTGGCCAGCGAAAGTCGCTAGGGATGGGCCGAAGGGGTAAGGATGCAAGGGCACCCTTGGGAAGGTTGCAAGGCACCTTACTATGTGGGTTGACCGCAGGTCGGTCGGCCGCTTCCGAAACGTCGGATCGTGCAACATCGACAGATTCCGGGCCGCTGGCCACCAGCGGCGTTCCACGCTGAGCGCCAGCGGCGGGGTCGCCGCTGGTCGACGCGAGACGCGAACCCACCCTGCGCTGTTTTGCGCCCGCCTCGCCTCTCGGCTGCCCGCCGCATGCGGTGCGACAGGGGTCGTTGTCGGCTGGTGTTCGTTATCCTGCCCCTGGGCAGGCTTCGGGCGGCCAATTTCGGCCCTGCCAGACAGCGGGGGGTGATTGAAGAACAGGTCGAGCCTGGTGTTGGCCACGTCTGGCAGCTGCGGGATCCTGATGTCCGGAAGCATTTTCTTGATTGCGTCAACTCGTTCTGGATTGGTTTCGAGTAGTGGCGACGTCTCAGATGGTGACCTGCACCCGTCGTTGTCGTCGTCGCCGCGCAGTACCTGCGCTCTTTCTTAGCCAAGTGCGAGGGCGAGGCCCCGCGCGTCCTTTTTTCTCTTCTTGGATGTCCGTGCTGTGGGGGGGGGCTGGATACATCAATGGCGCGTCGCGCGCAAGGATGTGGTTGATGACGGAAGGAGCAGCGTCAAAGAAGCGGGAAGAAATCAGAGGGACACATTGCCACTGGAATGCAGAAGGCATGAGTCGCTAAGCACAGGACATCATGGTACCCTTGCTTCGGCAGGGCCGACCTGCCTCTCGGCCTCGACTGTGCACTGTCCTCCTGGGCCCCCAGGTGCTGGCGCCGTGCCGTGAGCAGGGTGAGACGACATGAAGGAGGAGGACAAGCACGAGGTGGAACGGGAACAACAAAAGCGCATGGAAGGCCGACTTGCAAGAAGGAGCCTCACCAGGGAAGAGAAAAAGTCTCCTCCTCCTCCTCCTCCTCCTCCTCCTCCTCCCCTCCCCTCCTCCTCCTCCCCCTCCCACTCCACCACCCTCCCCTCCAACTCACCCTCCCCCTCCTCCTCCTCCCCTCCTCCCCCTCCTCATCCCTCCTCCCTCCTCCTCCTCCCTCCTCCTCCTCCTCCTCCTCCTCCTCCTCCTCCTCCTCCTCCTCCTGCCCCTCCCTCTTCCTCCCTCGTCCGCCTTGCCCCCCCCCCCCCCCCCCCAGGAGCGCACGAGGAGCCAAGGGCGCGCCGCCGAGGAGCCGAGGACACCGCAAGCGGGGGGGGGGGAAGGAATGTGAAAATGAGGAACGTCGCCGGGCCATCCCTCCGGGACGTCCCGCTAGGCCGCCCCCGGGCCTCCTCAGGCCGCCCTGCCGGCGCTGGCAGCTACGCCTGGCTCTCTGCCTCGACCTGGCGCGGAGCCGGAAGCACACACACACACAGACACAGACACAGAGACAAACACAGACACAGACACAGACACAGACACAGACACAGACACAGACACCCACACACACAGACAGACACACACCTGCGCCTGCAACGACATCCCCTGCCATCGCTCTCTCCGGGACGAGAGATAGAGAAGAGAGATAGAGAGAGAGAGAGAACTGAAAGGATAATGGAAACAAGAGGGAGAAGGGTGGAGGGGAGGAGGGGAAGGGAGCGGGTGGACGGGGAGGGGGGAGGGGGGAGCATGGCAGCAGAGAAAAGGGGATTGAAGGAAGGGAAAGGGAGTGGAGGGCAGACAGGGACAAGGACGGAGGAGCGGGACGAGGACGCGGAGTGGATGGGTAAGAGGGCGCGGGGAGTGGGGACAGTGGGACGAGGATCAGGGGATAGGGGAACTGGACCTCCCTCTGCCCATCCTTCTTCTCCTCGCCCTCCTCTCCCTCCACAGGTGAACATTCTGAATACTACTCTCCTCTCTGCCCTGACTCTGTCCCGAAGATGTCCAGCCCTCTCCGCGTGCTGTTTTTTCTGTCACGCAGGAGTTGGTAAAAGTGATTATCCGCATCATTTGTCTAAACTCCTAGGCGTTTCAAGATGCTGTCCCCGCTGCATCGTGGGCCTCATGTTCGAATCGGCGCTTTGCCCCTGTCGTTCAGAACGGCGCGCCCGGGCCACTTGTCTGAATCCAAGTCCTCTTCATCGCTGTCGCCCCCTTCATTTCCCCTCTTCCTCCTTCCCGCCGTCCTCCTGTTCCTCGCCCTCCTTCCACTCCAGCTCCTGCTGCTGCTGCTGCTGCTGCTGCTGCTCGCCCTCGTCCTCCTCCTTCCTCCGCGAGCGTGCCCTCCACGGGCCCTCCGCAAACCCTGCCCTCCACTTCCTCGTGGTCCTCCCTCCTCCTCCTCCTCCTCCTCCTCCTCCTCCTTCCCCCCACCCTCCTCCTCATCCTCCTCCTCCTCCTCCTCCTCCTCCTCCTCTTCTTATCATTCTTCTTAGTATTCTTCTTCTTCGTCTTCTTCTCCTCCTCCCTCCTCCTCCTACTCCCCCTCCCCCTCCTCCTCCTCCTTCTCCTCCTCCTCCTCCTCCACCTCCTCCTCCTACTACTCCTTTTCCTCCTCCTCCTTTTCCTCCTGCTCACCCGCCAGCTCCTTCTCCTCTTCCGCCCCACCGCGAGAGGGCAGGACGCGTGCCCAGGCTACTGCTCGCACCACTCGAATTTGACAGCCCAGCCGAGCGGGGTACGATCTTTCTCTCTTCGGCTACGCCGACGAGACTATACCGTGCAGTACTTTGTTGTGTCGCAGGTGCGGCACGTTCTGGCGCTGTCCCTCGCCCCCCCCCCCGCCCCGCGGCCGCCTCTTCCTTCCCAGAGATCCAACGTATTGAAAAAATCAATGCGGAGGTTTTTCTGAATTTTCGGCCTCTAGCGGCCCTCGCCGGGCCCTGGGACTGCCAAAAAACGACTCAGGACGAAAAACCGGTCCTGGGGAATGGGTCGAGACTTCCGGGGGCCCCGTCCCGAAAAAATCACGACATCGGATCTCTGGGTTTGTGCCCCCTCATGCCGCCGGACAATGAGCGCCTGCCGTATCTTGGCCCGCCCGAGGGCGCGTGCGGACTGCCTCTGCTGCGCTGCGACGCAAAGAGTGCGGCACGCTCAGCGAGTCCAGTTCCAGAGGCTTTCGGATGGACTGCCTAGGAGCGTGTCCGAACAATGGTAGGGCCCTACAGCTTTTCAAAGAGCATTTGCAGGTCAGCACCCCAAAGGGGCTCGCGGATTCAGCTGTACCTTTGAAATGCCCCCTGTCCCTCGCCCGAGTCGTGATGGAGCTGCAAGGGAAGAGCCAGCTAGCATAGTGTTACTGGCTCCAGAGACAATCGTACTCATCATCGATATGACGGCTGGTCTTTCTCTTCCTCCTCCTCCTCCTCCTCCTCCTCCTCCTAGTCCTGCTCCTCCTGCTTCTTCTCCTCCTGCTCCTCTTGCTCCTCCTGTTCCTCCTGCTCCTCCTGCTGTTCCTCCTCCTCCTCCTCCTCCTCGTCCTCCTCCTCCTCCTCCTCATCCTCCTCCTCCTCCTCCTGCTCCTCCTCCTCCTCCTCCTATGTACGCAGCTCCCCTCTTTCGATTGCGAATAGCACGACGCGGTCGTTCTGGGTGTTCCTGATCGGCCATGACACGCGTCCGCGGATATTCAATAAACGCAATGGGAAGTGAGGGGAGGAGGGATCGGATGTCAGATATGTCCCGAGCGCACCTCGTTTGTCTCCCTCTCCTCCCCTCTCTCCCTCATCCGCCTCCCCATGCCTCCCCCATACGGTGAAGGGGGAGGCAGGAACGATTCTTGGGCGCTGGACTCTGACCTTCTCCTTCTTGGGCTTCGAGTCTGCTGGTCGGGTGCCAGTCGTCAGCTTCAGGCCGGCGATCTTCTTCTCCTAGGGAAGGCAAGGAAGGAGGAGGGAGGAGGGACGATGAAGATTGGAGGTGGAAGGAAGCGAGGGGGGCGGGAGCAAGGAGGAAGGTCAGATGGGGGAGAGGCGAAAGGGGGGGGACGACAAGGGGGAGGGACGAGGCAGGAGCGGGAAGCGGGAAACGCAGAGGGAGGAACGAGGAGTGAGGACGGAGGGAATGGGAGGAGGGACGGAGACGGGAGGGAGGGAGGGGGGCGCCAGGAGAGAGGCGGCGTGGATGCGGACGAGGTCCGAGCGTCAGCGGCAAGAGTCCGCTGCGAGGCCGCGGCGACGTGGCCAGAAACACAAGCGGCAACGTGCGAAGGGGGGCTCTGGCCCAGGGCCTCCTCCACCTCCTCCTCCTCCTCCTCCTCCTCCTCCTCCTCCTCCTCCTCCTCCCCCTCCTCCTCCCCCTCCTCCTCCTCCTCCTTTTCCTCCTCCTCCTCCTCCTCCTCCTCCTCCTCCTCCTCCTCCTCCCTCTCTTCTCCTCCTCCTCCTCCTTTTCCTCCTCCTCCTCCCCCTCCTCCTCCTCCTCCTCCAACTCCTCCTCCTCCTCCTCCTCCTCCTCCTCCTCCTCCTCCTCCTCCTCCTCCTCCTCCTCCTCCTCCTCCTCCTCCTGCCCAGCCACAACACCGGCACAGCGGACGACCACCTCGCAATCGGGCGACGGGCACGCGTGACCGACGAGCCTCGGGGCAGATGGCACAGCCAGCGCCGACGCAACGCAACGGCGCCGTGCGCATGCTGGCGCCCCGTGCCGACTCTGGCGGGCCCAGGCGAAAGGGCGCCGTCACAGGGCTGCGGGCGCGGGGCTCTCTCAAAGGAGTTTCCTCCTCCTCCTCCTCCTCCTCCTCCTCCTCCTCCTCAGGGCGCCTGGGACTTGCTGGCTGAGGCTTTGGGTAAGCAGCCATGACGCCAACCAGCGCGGGGTCCAACCTCTGCAGAGAAGGGCCAGTGGAACGGCCTGGCGCCCGGGACCAAGGCCCCGGTCCTTGCCACCGGGTCGAGGCGCTCGCGCGTCGTGCGACCTCGATGCAGGGTGGTACTGTTGACGGCCGCCGAGATCGCCGTGGAATTATGTGGGAGTTGCATTCGGTCGTCGGCGGACCCGGCTGTTGCGACAGAGCGGGCTCAGGCGCAGCGGCCACGATGGGAACGGCTGGTGCCAGGCCGGCAGCTCCAGAGAAGCTGGTGTGGACTTGAAAGATCGGAGGCCGCCCTTTCCCCTTTCCCGACTGTCACACACCGGGGTCCCAGTGGGATGCAGCGATCCCACCAATGCTGATCGAGAGGGGACCTGGGGAAACCAAAAGTTGGGCGTTGCTAGAAGCACCCCTGGCCCAAGGTACCCTCAGGATTCTCGAAGTGGCCCAGACGGCCTCCAGGGCACCCCTCACGAGGCCCAGAGGGCCCCAGGGGCGCCAAAATGGAGAGCGAAAAGCTGGGGGCACCTTGGGCCAGGGGCACTTCTAGCAACACCCGAAAATTGTACCGATACCGCTACTCCCCAGACCTCTCCCGGGTTGCGTTCTGACCCGAACTTCGAGGCAAATCCACCAGCGGTGCCATGAAGCTCCAAAAAGGCGAAAACGAGGGAAGGATAACGAACTACTCCCGAGAATAACCTAACCCCCTGGGGATAATCAAGTTCGGGGTCCAGGCGGGATGATCCAAGTTGTCCTGGAGATCTCAGCATAACGATGAAGATGATGACGATGCTGACGATCAAGGTGATCCTGAACGTCCATGGGAATAATGAAACACACCCATCGGAGTCCTTCGGAAATCCACAGCGGCATCGGCACCTGGTTCCTCCTCCCAGGATGCCGCGGCGCGGGCGAGCTCCGCTGCCGCGGCGGAACCCCCAGCCGCCGGCACGCTCGGGCCACCTATATGGCAGCTATCTTCGCGATCCGCGCGATTATCTTCGCGCGGTTATCTTCGCGAATAGCTTTGCTCCGCGAAGCGCGTTTCTTCGCGATTCTCTTTGCTCCGCGAACCGCGTTCATCTTCGCGCGCTCGCGCCGCCCCCCCCCCCCGGAACAGGATGAGGGACTCGCGTTGTGCTGCCCCCCATCGTACTTAAGGACGACGTCCCAGAAATAGCTTCGAGCACCCAGAAGAGTATCTCGAAGCAGTGTCGAACGAGTATGGCCTCCCAGGGCCCGAACGCGTGAAAGCCCTCGAGTCCCGGTGTCTCCTTGGTGCTCGACATTATTTCTGGCGATCGAGGCCAACGTCGGTGGGAACATCATAAGACTCGCGCCTCGCTCTGAAATCGCGCCCCGACCGCGCAGCGCGACGCGCGACGAGCTCCGCACCCTCGTGGGGGCACCCTCGGGGGGGCGGGCGGGGACCGACCGTCCCGGCATTCCTATTATAGTCCTACCACGAAATGTTCTTCGAACCCCTTAAATGTTCTAAGAACCAAAGCAGTGTTCCTAGAACGCTAACCCGATGTGCTAAAATAAGACACTCCCAGCCAGAAGTGTTCTGAGACCATGTCGTGGGAACCACACTCGGTCCTCAGAACATTGTTTGGTAGGGCTATAGGCGAGCCAGGACGCTTCGCCACTGCTTGAGACTCGGGGGGGGCGGGCGGGGACCGAGGAGGCCCCGAGGAGGCCCGCCGAGGGCGGCGCTGTGCCCCCCCCGAGGCCCCCAGCAGCGACCCGAGCGCACACCACGCACTCTGGCGCACAGCAGGAGCTCGACCAGCAGAAACCACCCACGAGGAACCCAACCCTGAGACCCCAGGGCGTCTATGGACTTGTGGTGAGGAGGAGGAGGAGGAGGAGGAGGAGGAGGAGGAGGAGGAGGAGGAGGAGGAGGGCGGAGAGGAGGAGGAGGAGGAGGAGGAGGAGGGCGAAGAGGAGGAGGAGGATTAGGAGGAGGAGGAGGAGGAGGAGGAGGGCGGAGAGGGCGGAGGAATCCGGAACCCTGACGTAGTCAGAGCAACTCCTGAGCAAAAAACCATCGAAACCCAAGGAGCCCAGGGAAGCCTGGAGGCAAGCAGGGCGTTTCGTGGAACGGGTTCCCACTGCATCGACCACCGGAAACCTTCCACAGGGACCCCCACGCTGAGACCCCATGACGTCCGTAGATCTTTGGCGTGGGAGCGACACGCTCCCCATAGCAAAACCATCGAAACCCAAGAAACCCTCGGGGTGCTTTATGGCGCGGGTACCCACTGTGACCATACCCTTGTTGCAGTCGCCGACAGTGGCTGCGCTGGCCCCTCCCAGGCCCCCACGGCGCCGACCGCAGACCACCCCGGTGCAACCAGTGGGGGCAACGATACAGTCAAAACGTACATTAAGGACGGATTGTAAGGGCGCGAGACCCTTGGAGGCCGAAGTTGGGATTTTATGGGCGGGGCGACCAGCGAAAACGGCAAAGGACATGCCGTAGAGGCAAGGACACAAGGGCACCCTAGATGAGGACGCGCGTCCTTGCTAGGCGCGTTGGCTGTGGGGGGGGGGACGCATCGACCCCCAATCGCCCATCGATCGCCAATAAGGGCCCGATAGCCCCAACCTGCCCAGGAACGTGCGGGTTTAGGATCTCAAGGTGCATGCCGGAAGGATCGTGAAGGTGACCGCGCTGCTACAGCTGCTTGGGCGGCCTCCCGGGCCGATGCTCTTGGCCCCCTCTCCAGCCGCTGCGACCGCCTCTCCGAGGGCTTGGCGTTGCTCGGACGCCCATTCCCCGAGCATTTGTCGGCTTCGTGCGCGTAACTTTCGCAAGATGATCCAGGAGGAGGAGGAGGAGGAGGAGGAGGAGGAGGAGGAGGAGGAGGAGTGAAGGAAGATGAGGAGGAGGAGGAGGAGGAGGAAGACGAGGAGGAGCCAGGATGCTCCTCGATGGTCCTCACCGAGAAAAGATGCACACGTCCGAGCGTTGCCAGGTGAAGGGGCGACGGATCGACGCTCGATCGCTGGCGTGCGGTGGCGGAGCGCGCGAGAGCGCGCGAGGAGGCCTCCTGGTGCTAGCCGGTCCGACTCGGGATGTTCTGCCTCAGGTCTTCGCGTCCTCCTCCATCCCTCTGTCCTCACAAATCAACCGACCCTGTCATAAAGTTAGAAGTAGTAAACAAAGACTCCTAAATGGATCAAAAATACTATTAAAAAAGACGTCCCCAGACTATTTTTGGACTGTTTTTGGATTTTCCTCCTGTAGAAGGACAGGCCCGACTTGATGCTAGCCGGTCCGACTCTGGATGTTCTGCCTCAGGTCTTCGCGTCCACCTCCTCCATCCCTTTGCCCTCATAAATCAACCGACCCTGTCGGCGTGCGAGGGGCAGGATCAGCCAGCATCGAATCGGGAATCCGGATCGGATCGAGAAGGAAGGTCGGGTCGGGCCGCAGCGGCACGATGGTCGGAATCGAATCGGATCGGCCGCGTCGGGATGCACAGCAGCGCCACGCAAGCATCGGGCCGACTCGGATCGGCGGGAAATCCAAATCGACTCGAATCGTGCCGGCCAGAGCCGATACAGCAGGAGCTCGACCACCAGAAGCCTTCCACAAGAAACCCAACCCTGAGACCCCAGGGCGTCCGTTGACCTATGGTAAGGGAACGTCACGCTTTCCACAGCAAAACCATCGAAACCCAAGGAACCCAGGGCACCCTGGAGGCAAGCAGGGTGTTTCTTGGAATGGGTTTCCACTGTAGCGAATTAGATCGATCGCATCGAGATGGACTCTGGTGGCAGGGCTGAGCCCCGGTATCCCGAGTCGGGCCTGGGGACGCAGGAGGGAAGAGGACGGCGGGGCGCTGGGAGAAGGAAGCAGGGGGGAGGAGGAGGGAGGCCGAAGGGAGGAGTGCAGGGAGGGAGGGGGGGTCAGAGGAGATGCGCACGATGGCCGCCGTGCCCAAACAGCTGCCACTCCCCTCTCTCCCCATTCCCACGCACACGCACACGCACACACACACACACACACACCTCGGTACTTCTCACCCTCCCTGCCTCTCATCTCTCCCTGCATTTCCCCACCTTAGCCCATACCTGCTCTTTTCTCGTCGTCCTTACCCCTCCTACATCCACCCTTCTCTCCACCTCCCCCTCCCCCTATCCGCCTCTCCTCGAAACGTAGCGGGCTTGATTGAAACAAGCTAAGCACAATCGGATCGCATTGCATACGATTTCACATCGGGTGATGTTGATCTCTGAAGGCGTACGGTGTTCAGGCTGTCGATTCTTAGGACCCCCAGTCTCCCCTGAGACTTTGTACACCGACGACCAGATGCCGGGGCCGAAGAAGCGGTCAAACGAGATCAACTTGGCAGGGTCCGACCAGGTGGTGAACGGCACGTCCTTGGACACAAAAGTCATCGTGAACTCCAGTTCCTGATGGGAGAGAGAGGATCCTTCCTCTTTCCTATATCTCTACAATCCAGGGGGGGTGGAGAAATCCCCCCCGCCTCCCCCAAACCCGTGACCTCTGGACCCGTGGCCCCAGGGACCCCCTGGACGCCCCTGTAGAAGGCCCCTGGGTCTTTCTGGAGCTCCTGGAAGCCCCTGCTGGGCCTGGGCGACGGGGCGAATCGGTCTCGAGGGCGGCCTCACGGCGGGCGCACCGAGGGCCCAAGGAGGCCCCAAGCACCCACCAGACGCCCGAAGACGACCTGAAGAAGACCTCATTGATGCCCCATGGGTTTTCGCATGAGTTTGGAAATGCTCTGTTCTTCGGTCTTCCGGGCGTCCGAGACCGCCCAGTAGGCCCGGACATCGCCCCAGCACTACCCAAAAGGGTTTCCAGGCAATCGAAGAGAGCCCCGATACGGCCCAACAAGGTCCCAGAGATGGCCCGAAGAAAGTCACATGACGGCCCAAGATGACCCCAAGATGCCCTGACCCCGAAATACCCCCCGAAGCATCCCAAATCATGACCCAGTCGTTCAGGGAGACCGCGGTTGGAAGCAGGGTGGCCCGAGGAAGCCCCCAGAGGCTCCCAGAAGGCGCCCAGGAGACCTCCAGAAGGCCCCGAGAAGCCCTTGATAACTGTCGTGAGGCCCCCAAGAAGCTCTCCACGGAGGAACCTCCGCAACAAAAAGTGAGGAGGTTGGAGAAATGTTCGCAGGACACGGTGAGGAAACAAACAGGAGGAAAGGAAACATGAAGGAATGCCATTCAATAGCAGGATCACCTCGATGATGCCGGAAACAACAAACATGTACATCGCTACATTACAGGTGTTACCTTCCTGCCCTTCCGCCTGCATGCCCCAAAAAGATGCACAGCAAGAAGCGCCAGTGCACTCGTGCACACACATACACTTTATATATATATATATAGATATATATACACATATATATATATATATATACAAACACATGCGTTGGTATGTAGCAGGGTATATCCATATACATATATACGCACGTTTGTTTACATACATTACGATGACATTGTTGTACACATTTGCTTATACACTTGCACTGCGGTGGTCAATCTGTATGGCTAAGCATACATGTGTACATATATATACACGTTTGTGTGTACGCATACTAGAACAATCGCGCGCGCTTCGCGCGCGCGTTCAAGTTCTACGCAGCTGGATTGTCGAACTCTTGAAGATCTCTATTCTCCCTGGAGCTTCCGAGAACCAGGAAAACGGTCCAAGTGGCTTCCAAGACTCTCTACGGTCCACCCACGACGGCTCAGAACAGGCCCAAACAGGCACATCGGGGACCCTGTGATTCGCCGCGGCTTGACGTAGCAGGAGGAAGAGGGACGAGAAGGGGAGGTGAAAGGGTTCCCTGGGGGAGAGGGAGAAGGAGGATGAGGAGCTGCAGAAGGTGAGGAGGCCGCTTAGAGGAGGAGGAACCGGACGAGGAGAAGGAGGGAGGGAATGAGGAGGAAGTATGATATATGATATGTCATACTCTCCAAGCGTAGCGAAGCTGCCAGGCGAACTTAAACCAGCCTGGCGAAGGACCCAACCATATTCAGCTGTGGGTACCGCAATTGTGAATATCTTTTTCGGCGGCGCCCCCTATGGTGCCACGAACCGCATGATGGGGTGCGCCGAATTGCGTGGCGGGGTACACAACACGAACGAAGACGATAGGTCGAATTACGAGAGACTGAGCGCGGGTGAGTATGAGCGCAAATGAGTCTGAGTGTGACTGAGTTTTCGTGCGAATAGATCTGCATGAACGCGAGCATGGCCACGCCAGGTGTGTATATATATACACATACATGAAGGTGAATGGTTCACGTATGCCTGACCCTGAGTGCTCGTGACGCTGAGCGTGGCCGCCGCAGGAAGCTCCCCCTGGAACCCCGACAGCAGCGCCCGCACGCCGCGACGCCCATGTCGGCACGCTCCTCACGAGGATCGCGCCCGCTTCCTTCCCGTTCTTTTTCTTCCCCTTTGCCCGAGCACGCCCACGTCCAATGCTGCGGGCGCGGCGCCGCACGGAGTCCCCGCGACGCGCGTTCGTCGCCCCGGAGGGGTCCCGGCGACGCGCGCGGGTCGCCCGCTGCGCGGAGCAGAGGGAGCTAGCTGGCTGGCTGATAGCGGGCAAGGCTGTGGCCGCTGGGCAGAGCGACGACGGGGGCGAGCGAGGCTCTGGGCAGAGCGCAGCGTGGGATTCCCGCGACGCGCGCTGGTCGCCCCGAGAGGGTCCAAGCGACGCGCACGGGTCGCCCGCGGCGCGAGGCCAGACAGACAGACCGTCGAGAGAGGGCGAGGCTCGGGCGGGCCGCTCCTCAGGTCAAGCCTCGCTGAAAACTCGGTGAAACTCAGCTACCTGGCGAAGGCCGCCGCCTCCCTCCTGCACCGTGTCGTGCGCGTGGCAAACTGCTCCAGCTGCTTCGGCAAACCCTCCCGCGGCCCTGCCAGGAAGAACTCGATGCAAATTGCGCCACCGGGACCTTAGGAGGAGCTCCCTCTGGGGTCACGAAACGTGTGAGGGGTGCCAAAATGGGGCGGAGGGCGGCAGCGCCATGCGAGCTGCGCCAGTGAGACCTTAGGCGGAGCTCCCCGTGGGGCCACGAAACGTGCGAAGGGGTATGCCAAAGTGGGGCGGCGGCGCCATGCGAGCTGCGCCACTGGGACCTTAGGTGCAGCTCCCTATGGCCACGAAACGCGTGAGGGGTGTGCCACAATGGGGCGGTGGCGCCATGCGAGCTGCGCCATTGGGGCCTTGGGTGCAGCTCCCTCCCTATGGGGCCACGAAACGTGTGAGGGGTGTGCCAAAATGGGGCGGCGGCGCCATGCGAGCTGCGCCACTGGGGCCTTAGATAGGGCTCCCTGTGGGGCCACGAAACGTGTGAGGGGTGTGCCAAAATGGGGCGGCGGCGCCATGCGAGCTGCGCCACTGGGACCTTAGGTGGAGCTCCCTATGGGGCCACGAAGCGTGTAAGGATTATGCCAAAATTGGGCGGCGGCGCCATGCGAGCTGCGCCACCGGGACCTTAGTTCGAGATCCCTATAGGGCCACGTAACGTGAGAGGGGTGTGCCAAAAATGGGGCGGCGGCGCCATGCGAGCTGCGCCACTGGGACCTTAGGTGGGGCTCCCTATGGGGGCCACGAAACGTGTGAAGAGTGTGGCAGAACGGAGCGGCGGCGCCATGCGAGCTGCGCCACTGGGACCTTAGGTGGAGCTCCCTGCGGGGCCACGAAACGTGTGAGGGGTGTGCCAAAATGGGGCGGCGGCGCCATGCGAGCTGCGCCATTGGGGCCTTAGGTTCAGCTCCCTATGGGGCCACGAAGCGTGTGAGGGGTATGCCAAAGTGGGGCGGCGGCGCCATGCGAGCTGCGCCACTGGGACCTTAGGTGGAGCTCCCTGTGGGGCCACGAAGCGTGTAAGGGGTGTGCCAAAATTGGGCGGCGGCGCCATGCGAGCTGCGCCATTGGGGCCTTAGGTGGGGCTCCCTATGGGGCCACGAAACGTGTGAGGGGTGTGCCAAAATGGGGCGGCGGCGCCATGCGAGCTGCGCCACTGGGACCTTAGGTGGAGCTCCCTATGGGGCCACGAAGCGTGTAAGGGGTGTGCCAAAATTGGGCGGCGGCGCCATGCGAGCTGCGCCACCAGGACCTTAGTTCGAGATCCCTACAGGGCCACGTAACGTGAGAGGGGTGTGCCAAAAATGGGGCGGCGGCGCCATACGAGCTGCGCCACCAGGACCTTAGTTCGAGCTCCCTACGGGGCCACGAAACATGTGAGGGGTGTGCCAAAAATGGGGCGGCGGCGCCATGCGAGCTGCGCCACTGGGACCTTAGGTGGAGCTCCCTGTGGTGCCACAAAACGTGTGAGGGGTGTGCCAAAATGGGGCGGCGGCGCCATGCGAGCTGCGCCACTGGGACCTTAGGTGGAGCTCCCTACGGGGCCACGAAGCGTGTAAGGGGTGTGCCAAAATGGGGCGGCGGCGCCAAGCGAGCTGCGCCACTGGGACCTTCGGTGGGGCTCCCTATGGGGCCGCGAAACGTGTGAGGGGTGTACCGAAACAGAGACATTATGAAGGCAGGGGCAAGGACTGGGAGAAGGAGGGGGAGGAGGGAGGAGGAGGAGGAGGAGGAGGAGGAGGAGGAGGAGGAGGAGAAGGAGGAGAAGGGGCTTCAAAACGAGGACCCAACCACAGGATGGTTGGGAAAAACTGAAATGTTGGAACCTCAGTTTTCTCAAGTGCCCTCGGGGCCTCTCTCCGGGCTCTTTTTGGTCTCTTTGGGGCTTCTTGGGGACCTCTTGAAGCCTCCTGGGGGGTCTCCTGGGGCGAAGATCTCGGGTTCTCGGTTCACGTTCCCGATCCTGGGCCGCGGTTGGGGCCCTCTCGGGCCGTCTTGGACGTCTCTTCGGCGTTTTTGATGACTATTGGGCGCTTGTGAAGCCTACTGGGCCGTCTTGGGGCGATCATCGGAGCCTCTTGGGGCGTTTTGTAGCGTCGGGAAGCGGAACAGTCGGAACCGCCAAAATTGTTCAAAAATCTACGGAACATAAATGATTGTTGGCCTCTTCGGGCTCTGTTGGGAGACCTTTTGGAAGCCTCATGGGTATCCCGGGGGCATATTGGGCCGTCTGGAGGCCGCCTTGAGCGTCTTGGGCCATCGAGTGGCCTTCGGCCCATCCTGCAACCGTGCCTGGGTTGTGGGTTAGAGGCCTCTTGGAAGTTCGTTTGGAATGGGCCTCTTGAAGACAGTCGTGGAGGCTTCTTGGGGGCCGTTTGGGGTGCTCTTGGGGCCTCTTTGGGGGGCATCTTCGGGGCCTCGATAGGGGGCCTCCAGGGCGCCTCTCGGGCTCTCCTGGGGGCCTCTTGGGGCCTCCGGGGGCCTCTTGGGGCGGAAGGCTCGAATTGTCAGTTCGTGTTCCTCCTCTTGGGCGATCTGGGCGCCCCTTGAGCCGTCTTGAGGCACTCTTGGGCCGTCTTGGGGCTCTCTTGCGCCGTCGTGGCGCCCTCTATGAGTGCCTCGTGGGCCGTCTTGAGAAAAACCTACTTGATTCGCCTCCTGAGGGCCTCGTGGGAGTTATTTTGAGGGCATCTTGGCCGTCTTGAGGCCCTCTTGGGCTGTCTTCAAGCCATGTTGGACCAATTTGGAAACGCTCTTCTGCGGTCTTGGGCTCTCTTGGAGCGCTCTTGGGCCATCTTGGCGCCCTCTTGGACGTCTCTCGGGCCCTTTCGTCGCCCCCCTTCCCCTCCTCTGACGCGTTCTGGCGCCCCCCGCCGGGTTCAAAACGGCCGGAAGAGAAATCAGTAGACTCAGGGCCCCCCGGGCACCCCTCCCCATTATATATATACATACATACATATATATATATGTGTATAGGTACATATATGTATATGTGTGTATATATAAATACATCTATATATGTGTATATATATATATGTATATATACATAAATATCAGGTGTACATATATTATGTATATATACTCCCCTCTTCAAATATTCTTCTCGTACGGAAAAACCGACAAAAAACTCGGGTTAATTCATCGGCCGTTTGCTGGATGCCCAAGACGACTGGCCCACGTCAACCCCAAGAGCGCCTAAAAGGCCCAAGACGGCCCATAACAGCCCCAAGGACGACGTCGGAGGAGTCCAAGAGGGCCCCAAGACGGCCCAAAATGCGCCCAATGAGTCCCCAAGACGCCCGCGAATCCCCCAAAACGCCCCAAGAGACTCTCCAAGGGGACCCCCAAGAGGCAAAAATCTACAAATTCTTCAAGGCGAACGTATATTTTCATCATATTCGTTTCTTTCGTCCTCTCAGCGTCCACACCTGCCCACGAGGCCCCCAAGACCGCCCCGAGACGGCCGAAGAGGCCCCCTAAATCGGCCCAAGAGACGGCCAAGAAACCCCAAATCGGCCCAAGAGAGGCCCCCCAAATCGGCCCACGGCCCAAGAAACCCCAAATCGGCCCCAAGAGAGGCCCCCCTTGGGCCCCAAAATGCTCCCAAGGGAGCCCCACGACAGCCACAGCAGGCCCCCATCAGGGCCCCAGAGAGCCTTGAGGGGGCCACGGACGGCCCACGCCGCCCAGGACGGCACAAGACAGCCCCAGGACGGCCCAAAAGGCCAGAAAAGAACCCCCACGAAGGCCCAGAAATACCACACCGGGCTCCAAGACACTGCGCAAGCGACTTCGCGCCCACACTCAATAAACGCGCGTTCCGTCCCCATGCCAAGCAGGGAGTGATCCAAGAGGGTCCCCAGAAAGGCCCCGAGCGGCAAACATCTCCCCATTCCTTGGCAAAAACATCTCTCAATCCTCTTCGCTTCTCCCCCTCTTCAGAACGTCCCAGACATTCGAAGAGCGCCTCAAGAAGCCCCCAAGACGACCCGATGATGCCCCGGAGATGCCGCCCCGAGACGGCTGACAACAGCCTACAACGGCCCCAAAAGCAAACAAACGCCAAGGGCAAACCAACCGTCCAAAACGTTTTCCTTTGTACACAAAAAACGCCGGAGATGACCCCAAATAGCCCAGGACAGCCGACGGCGGCACAAGACCGCCGAAGGACTCCCAAGACCATTCAAGACCGCCCAAGACGGCGTAAGACCGCCCAAGACCGGCCAGAGAGCTCCAACTGATATGCCCAGCTTCTATTTCAGGACGACCTTCATAAATCCCACTACTCACAGCGGCCCACAAGCCTCGCAATTTGCTCCAAGACAGCCCAGAAGGCCGCCAAGAGAGAGCAAAGACTGACCATGAGGACTGACTCTCTCCAGACTGATGCTCATGCTGATGACGACGACGACAACGACGACGACGATGACGATGATAATGAGACTGGTGGTGATAGTGATGACCATGATGGTGATGGTGATGATGACAATTATGTGGACGATGATGATGGCATTGAATACGTCGATGACGATCACAATGGCGATGACTGCGGCGATGATGGTGACAATTATGATGACGGGGGTTATCAGGACGAGAATGATTATAACGATGATGCGATGATCCTGGTGATGGTTATGACGATGTCCATTACGTTGGTGATACGGATTACAAATGACTACGGCGATGGCAATGAGGAAGATAACGGCCACAATGATAATGACAATGATGACGATGATGACGAGGATGACGAGGATGATGATGACTATGATGCTGATGATGATGCGTACGACGATGATGATGCTGATGGGGCTCACTCCCATGTGCATGATCTTCTGGGTAACAATGACGTTTTGAAGCTCACCATGAAACGATAATGGCGACGAAGACGATGACGACCACCATGATGATGACAATGACGAGGACGACACTGATGACGATGACTACGACTCCCAGCGTTCGGTGCGATTCCGCTCAGAGCCTCGCGCTCTCCAGGACCACTCTTCCGAAACCGCAGGTACCAACGCCATCTTTCTCGCCCGCTACCCCTCCCCATCCCCCTCCATCCATAATCATTGTGGCCCCACATGTTCTTCGACCATTTTGGATTTTGGCTCTAGATGTTCATTTTCCATCCCAGTCCATATTTATTCATACTCATCGGCGTGCCCACCGGTCCGTGGGCCATCCACTGGGGCAGCGAGATGGGGGGGTGCGATGAGGAAAGAACGAGGCATAATCGGAAAACGACGGGGTAGGAAGAGGTCGACAGGAAGATGCATAAGCGGATGATGAGGATGAAGAGGACAAAGAGGATACGCTCGAGCCGATTGGGGGGAGGAACAGAGGGAGGAGGAGCCACAGGAGACAGAAGACGAGGAGGAGGACGAGAAGGAGGACGAGGAGGAGGAGGAGGAGGAGGAGGAGGAGTAATAGAAGCACGATGCAGAGGATGACGTCGGGCACGCATCCCCACTATCATCCCCTCATGTCGTTGCCTTGACTTCCATACCCCTCCCCGGCCACGACCGCTCCGGGAAGCCATTGCGACCTCGTGCAGCCCGCCAGAAGAAGCCGTGGCTCCTCCTGCACGTGCGACGGTTGCCCCACGTGCTGCCGCCGCGTTGGGATTTCAGCGGCTTATGCTTCCGACGAGTGCGGCGCGCGCGTCCCCGGAGGCCCCCCGAGCACATGCGGCCCCTGCCGCGGGGAACAGCGTGGCGGGCCACGCACGGCGGCCATGAGCAGCCTGGCCCGTGCGGTTGCTGACGACGGCCTCGCTCCTCGACACCACCCCGCTGCGCCACCAGACTGAAAGGGCCCACAAACACACAGATTAATACACACGAATAAAAGTACTCCCCATATTTTCCCATGTTTTTTTTTGGTTTTTGTCTTCCCCCCCACTTCGCATATTTTCCCATATTTTCCAACAAATCGAAGATTAATTGTGTCTGTGTGTTTCTTTCCCTTCTGACAGACGTTGTGCTCGCGGCAGTCCGTCAGAACGGCGACGCTTTCGCATGCGCACCGGCGTCTGTGGTCCACGATTCACGGCCCGTGCATCGTGACGGCCGCCCTCCGCTCGAATAGCATGGCTCTGACTTCCATCCCGGATGCTGCGTTGGAGCATCCCGTGGCGGCCCAGGCCGTGACCGAGGCTGCTTTCGGGATGGGGGATCTGGACGATTGCCCCCCAGACACCCTCACGCCGGCGCAGGCATGCCCATCCGAAATGTCCGGCGGACTCCTCGTGCCTGTGCGCCAGCCTGCGACGCTGGCCTCCTATGGCGCGGCCAGGGCGAAAACTCAGCTACAGAGGGACCGCGAGCGCGTAGCCCGATTCCGCTCCGTCTGTCCCATGGGCGGCTGGGAGCAAGGTCTTCGCAAGGCTGCCGGGGGCGAGTTGTTGTGTGCGCCCAGCGAGACAGCGGTGGCCGCCATCAAAAGCTTGGCGGGACAATTGGGCTTCCCCGCGCACTTCGTGTACCTGCACGTTGTCTGGTATTCACACGTAGCCGCAGTGCTCGGGGATGCCAACGCCGACGCCGCCAAGCCTACGACTATCTTAGCCACCAGGAAAAGCACCCGCCTGGGCCGGCCGGAGATGCTTCTGGGAGCGCCCATTGGCCGAGAGACCACAGGGGCTACTGAAAAGCGCTCGCGGCATTCGCCCATCCCGCGTGCACCACGCCACCAAGATATCATCGGCGAAGCGCAGCGAGCCGGTATCTTCTTGTATACTTATATGTATATATACACATGCCTATACATATACTTGTATATATACGTGTTGGCATATATGCATACATGCATGCATGCATGCAGACAGACATGCATATACCACACATAAGCGTGACAGAGAGAGAGAGAGAGAAAGAGAGAGAACAAAAAGAGGCGATAAAAAGAAAGAGAGAGAGAGAGAGAGAGATCGATATACATATACATAGAGAGAGAGACACAGAGCGCACCAACCATGCACAAGCAGAGGAGGACGATGTGTAGTAGGTTGCGGAGTGGGCCTCGTCTTCGGTCTTGCTGATAATGATCGACTTCATCTGTGGGTACCGTCCCTTTGATACCGTCAGGCCCAGTGCCTTCAGCGAGGAGTCGAGATGCGCGTCGTCGCCATAGCGGTGCCGGGTAGTGTCGTTGAACACCTGTTATGGGCGCCCTCCCTGCCCTACCAGGGGGCCTCGCTCCACCCTCTCCATCCTTGCCCCAGCCCTCCCTCCTTGCCATTACCCCTCCCTACCTCCTCTCCTCCTCGCCTTTCCTCGTTCCCATCATTTCATCATCGCTTCCTTCACTCTCTCTCTCTCTCTCTCTCTGCGGTGAGGGCATTGGACCAGGAACCCTTAGCTAAGGAATTCAGTGTCTGGAAGGTTGTGGGCCACCTATTGAGACGCGATCATGGATAGCACCGCCGACCTCATCGGAGAAGGGATCCTCCAGGGTCTGAACCCTCCTGGGAGCATGCCTGAACGAACGCCCCCACCGTACACTCCTCTCTATCAGACTTCCTGGCCCCACCTTCCTACTCCTCCCTCGCATACAGCCATCGCGCTACCACAAAGAGCGCCGAACGAAGAACGAATGGGCTCTTCTGGCCACGGCGAGCCTCGGCTTCGCGTGGGCTCCCCGACCAAGACCCGAGGAGCGGCCCGAAAACCGGAGCCCCTCCTGAGCCCGAAGGTGCATATGTTTGAGCGCGTTGGGTGCACAGCTGAAGAGACCTCCGAGGGGCGCGTACCCGCCTTGTGAAAAGTTAAACGGTCGTCACCAGCAACGTCATCCTCGGTCATGTGACCCTTGACCTTAAGGATGGGACCCATCTGTGAGTCCGCAGTCCAGATGAACATTCCAGCGTACACGCGGTTAAACGAGAGGTGTTCGGCTCGGGGCAACGACCAGAGCTGGACGACGTTTTGGCAGTCACTAAAGCCGACCGAGCCTTCAAGTACTGGGAGGCGCGGATGCCGTCCCCGAAACCGACCGCAGCGCCGCCCATCCAGCCCCATACTCGCTGCCCGCTTCTCCCTCCCCTCCACCTTCGCCGCCGCCGCCTCCTCTTACTCCTCCTCTTCCTCCTCGTCCTCCTCCTCCGCCTCCTGCTCCTCTTCTTCCTCCTCCTCCTCCTCCTCCTCCTCCTCCTCATCATCATCATCAGCAGCAGCAGCAGCATCATCATTCGTATCATCATCATATCGACAGCAGCATCATCATCATCAGCATCATCAGCATCATCATCATCATCATCATCATCAGCATCATCATCATCGACATCGTCGTCATCATCATCATCATCGGCAGCATCACCAGCATCATCAGCAGCAGCATCGTCATCATCATCATCATCCTCATCATAATCATAATCATCATCATCAGCATCAGCATCATCACCAGCATCATCATCCGCAGCAGCATCACCATCACAATTATCATCAGCAGCATCAGCATCAGCAGCATCAACATCAGCATCAGCATCAGCATTATCATCAGCAGCATCATCATCGTAGTCAGCATCATCAGGAGCAGCATCAGTATGTTCCTCCTCCTCCTCTTCCTCCTCATCCTCCAACTCCTCCTGTTCTCTCTCCATCTCCCCCTTCTCGTCCTCCCCCTCCCTCCTCACCCTGCTCCAACTCCCCCTCAGACTACCTGGCTGCATCGCCATCCATCATCATCATATTCCTTATCATTATCCGTTTCCTCCTCGTGCTCCTCCTCCAGCTTGCTTTCCTCCTGTTCCTCCTCCTCCTCTGTTTCTTCCTCCTCCTCCTCCCTCCTCACCCTACTCCAACTCATCCTCTTCCCTCTCCATGTCCCCTTCCCTCTCGTCTCCCTCCCTCCCCAATCCTACTCCAACTCATTCTCAGCTTACCTGGCTCCGTCGCCACCCATCATCATCCTACTCCTCATCGTGCTCCTCCTCCTCCTGCTCCTCCTCCACCTCCCCCTCCTCCTCCTCCTGCTCCTCCTTCTCCGCCTCATCCTCGTCTTCCCCTTCTCATCCCCCTTGTCCTCCCCTTCCTCCTCATCCGCCTCCTCCTCCTCATCCTCCTCTTATTCCTCCTCCTCTTCCCTCTCCATCTCCCCTTCCTCTCCTCTCCTCCTCCTCCTCCTCCTCCTCCTCCTCTCCTCCTCCTCCTCCTTCTCCTCCTCCTCCTCCTCCTCCTCCTCCTCTTCCTCCCTCCTCACCCTACTCCAACTCCTCGTCAGATAACCTGGCTGCATCGCGACCCATACTCCTCCAGCTCCTCCTCCGCTTCCTCCTCCGTCCCTCCCCCATGTTCACGATTATGTCCATCCTCACACCTTCTCCTCAGCAACAGTATCATCACTCTCCTCATACTACAACTCCTCCCGCTCCTCCTCCTGTGCATCCTCCTCCTCCTCGGGACTCTCCCTCCTCCTTACCCCATCCCTGCCCTCACCCCTCCTCCTTGAACTCTTCCTTTCCATCCATGGGTCCTCCGTCTTCCCTCCTCTTCCTCCTGGTCCTCATCTTTCTCTCCTCCCATCTTCCTTGTCCCCATCGCCACCCGCATCCTCTGGCGTCCGCCTCTCCTCCCCCTCCTCCACCCGTACTCTCCCTCCTCCCTACCGACCCTCTTCCTCCAGCTCGTTTCCCCCTCCGTCCCTCTCCGCATCCTCCTTCTCCGTCTCCATCTCCTCCCGTTCCTACTCCTCCCCTTCGGGCTGGGGCCGTCTTTTTCTGCCCTGGGCCTTCAGCATCGTGGGGGTCTGCTTCTCGTTCCAGAACTCCTCCGTGGCACCGTTCCGGAATTCCACCTCCACCGGCTGCAGCTCGGCGTAGAACAGGGCGAGGCCGAGCAGCAGGACCTCGGAGAGACTGGAAGGCTGCAGTCAGGGGGGGAGCGGGAGAAGGACCAGAGGATGAGGAGGAAGGAGCGGGAGAGAGGGTATGGATGATCAGGGAGACCCCTCCTCCTCCTCCTCCTCCTCCTCCTCCTCCTCCTCCTCCTGATACTCCTCCTGCCCCTCCGTCCCCTCGTCCTCCTCCTCCTCCTCCCCCTCCTCCTCCTCCTCCTCCTTGGTGTCCTTCCGCCGGTCGTTGCTCGTGCACTCCAATAGACTGGGCACTTGCTGCTTCCTTGGATTCATGTTACGACTTAACGTCGTCATCGCTTCGTGCGGCCAGGTCGCCATCGCGGTCCACTCGGCTGGCAAATACCACGACGAGCAACTTTTTGGTATGCGGGGGCCGGCGAGCGACAGAGCGCACCTAACCACGCTGCGGGCGGCACCACAGCGCGAGAGGGAGGACGGCTGCACAAGGCCGATTCCAGAAGCCCCGTGCTCAAAAATGCTGCCTCCTCGCCCTCCTCCTCCTCCTCCCTCCTCCTCCTCCTCCTCCTCCTCCTCCTCCTCCTCCTCCCCCTCCCCCTCCGCCGCCTCCGCCCTCCTCCTCCTCCTCCTCCCCTCCTCCTGATACTCCTCCTCCTCCTCCTCCTCCTCCTCCTCCTCCTCCTCCTCCTCCTCCTCGGGAGGCGGATCTTCACTTCCGCCGCCTTCCGCAGGCCTTCCGCCGTGTCTCCGCCAGCGGAGCCGCCCTCCTTAGATTTCTGCCAGCTTCCGCCGACCTTCCGCCGCTGTCCGCCGAGGAGGAAGTGCCAGCCGCTCGAGCCCTCGACGGCGAGGCCCGCTCTGGAACCCACGCGCGTGTGCAGGCGCAGAGAGATCCGCGGCCCAGGCGAAGCGCGCCGAACTCGGAGATCCCAGGAGGCACTGCACACGAGGGCCAAGAGCGGGGGAAGGGAAGAGGCGGTGGGGGCGCGTAATCAATTAGACCAGCGAAAAGCCCCAATCAGTGGATGGTTAGATCGATGAGGAGATCGACCGGGAACATGGGAACCCAGAACCCACCGACATTGGCCCTGAACCAATAACCAGGAACCCCGGAACCCGGAAGCGGGAACCCAGCTGGCCACCCAAATCGGCGGGACACTTTCGCCAAATCTTTCAATTTCCGCTGGGACCCCTCCAGTGCAAGCACTGATTGGGGAATGAGAGGGAGAAAGAGAGAGAGAGATAGAGAGAGAACAAAGAAACATCAAGAAAAATGAGAGAGAGAGAGGGAAGCCCCAAAAACAAGGAAAGATAGTCGAGGGGCCCACCAGGGGGCCAGAAATACATCGACACAAGTTCCTGGAGTATGAGCCCATCTGCTCCCTCATAAAAGCAGCGTTGATTGGTGTCTGTGCCGATCTTCACTCCTGGATGATGAAAACGAAGGAAAAAGAGAGAGAGAGAGAGAAAACAAAAAAAGAGAGAGCGAAGGATAACAACAGAAATTTGACAGAAAGAGAGAGAGAGAGAGAGAACAAAAAGAGAGAGAGAGAGAGAGAGAGAGAGAGAGAAACGTCGCACGTCTGAGTCAGGCCTCTGCATCACGAAAGGTCGTGAAGCTGCCGTGCCCACATATGAGACGACCTGCGCATGCAGCCACGAGAAGCGGCCGCGAGCGCCGAAAACTGCAGTGGTCGGCGTGCGCGGCCAGGAACACTTGGACAGCGTGTCTCAGCAGCGGCCCCGGCGACGCGCTAAACCTTGCAAGCGGACAGCGTGACGCTTCGCTCCGCGGGGCGGGAGGCTGGAGAAGGCGTGGGAGGAGGGAGGAGAAGGAGGAGGAGGAGGAGGAGGAGGAGGAGGAGGAGGGAGGAGGAGGAGGAGGAGGAGGGAGGAGGAGGAGGAGGAGGAGGCTGGAAAAGGGAAGAGGACGGCGTGTCGCGCCGAAGCGTGGCGGGCCTCGAACCGGCGGAGCGAGGCGCCATCCAACACTTCCCGACAGTACGCACTGCTGTGATCAGCCCACATCCCGCCCCCCAAACTGGAGCGGGGACATCTGGCAGCGGAGAGAAGGGAGACGGAGGAGAGGCGAGGGAGGAAAGGGATGGATGGATGGGTGGTGGCCAGCGTGGGCGAGAGAGAGAGAGAGAGAAGAAAGGGAGGAGAGGAGGGGGAGGAAAGGGATGGATGGAGGCAGGAGAGGAGGGGGAGGAAAGGGAAGAAAGGGAGGAGAGGAGGGGGAGGAGAGGGATGGATGGATGGATGGATGGAGGAGCTCATAAAATGTCGCGGGGAGGGAAAGACGGCGAGCGATCGGGGAATCGGACTCGGAACAGGAGCAAGCGCGGACCTGCTCAGCACGAAGCCCGGCGCGACCCCAGACTCTTGGGGCAAAGCTTCCTGTTGCATGGGCGCAGTGCTCGGCATTGCTTGGCACGTTCTTTTCCGAGCGGAGGAGCGCCCCTGCTCGCACGATCCTTGCCTGGCTCACGCGGCGAGGACGGGACCGCACAGGAACACCTCCTCGCTGTCGCTGCCGTGCTCCCGCGCGCACGGCGGGGCGCCTCGGTTGCTGTCGTCGCGGCCCGCTTCGGGGCGGTCGAGCCACTGCAGCGCCGCGGAGGCGCGGGACGCGGCGCGCTCCTGCTGAAACACGACGGAGCCGGACGTGTAGCCGAAGCCGCTGGCGTGATGGGCCCATTTTCCACCACCACTACCACGGGCAGGAGAGGGAAGAGGAGGAGGAGGAGGAGGAGGAGGAGGAGGA